GGAACGGCCGCGAGGAGGGTGTCCCCACGCGAAGCGTGTTTATATACGGAGCGTTTATACACAGCAACGGCCACGCTACTCCACCCGCGGCTTCCCTTCCCAACGAAAATCACCCCCCGCTGGCACCTCGTCCCCTGCTCGGAGAGACAAACAGCTTATAGAGAGCTAAGGAATGTGGCTGTGACCTGGGATTTCCCCCCGCAAGAGCATTTGTTTAATCTGCTCTAGACGCTGCAGTAGCCTGCAACAGGCTGGTCTGCCGTAGGAGGCTGCTCCTTGGCTACTGCATTCAGCAGCGCTCTGCTCCGTGAGACTGAACGTGAAAGACTTTCAGCACCTGATAGAAATCAGCAGAAGTGTCATTTGTTCTATCTGGTTAGTGTCAAGCCATAGCAAGATGGTCTTTTCCAAATTAAAGTGCTTCCAAGATTTTTCTTAAAAACATGTTTCAGGCTCATGGGAAGGGGACAGGCCTTGTACATTAAGATCTGAAAGAATGAGGACAAGTGAGATTTTGGATGGATGCTGTACTCAGAATGAGGAGGAGACTGTGATGGTTGGGTGCTTATTGCAGGTCATTTATTTACAGAAGACTCTTAAAAGTTTTGCTGAATTTCGAATTAGAAACATATAATTGGTGCAACTATCATATAATACCTTAAAGGAAGAACTCACGGAATCTAGGCCTGGGGAAGTAGTTCAGCAACCTTCACAGATAGTTTAAGATCTATAGATGAAGATGTATTAAGGGAAAAGTTAATTGTAATAAAATGGATGTATACATTCTCCAAGCACCGGCCCAAACCAAGGACTTTCCCCAGGGACTATATTTATACTTAGAAATCAGAATTGAAGTCAAGTCTCTTACGTGGAGCATCTTGATCAAAAGGAGTCAAAGTCAAAGGTATCAGAAGGGTGTATTCTAAATATACGCAGAATCTTTAGTCAAAAGATGCTCAAAATAGCAGCAGTTTTTTTTTTTTTTTTTCAAAAAAGGATAAGCACTGTCAGTAATGCAATAACTGCGCATTGTCAATGACATAAAGCTTCTCCTGCAAGTGTAAAGCTCAGGAAGCTTTATTTTGGGAGATCCTCATAAATCTTTAAAGAAAACTTATTACTTAAGCAGAAAAAACTCTCAAAGATTCTAGACAAAAATAAAGTGTTTTTGAAATACCACAGTTACATCAGGATAAAACAAATTATTTAAAGGCTGTCTACCCTCCTACTGAAGAGTACAAGATTTCACTCGTGAGGTGGCAGAATTTTAGAGGAAATGTCCTCTACAGATAAATGGCCATATGTTTGTCTGCAGCTGGGCTTTTAAAGTCCTCCCGCAACACCAGTGTATCCGTGTTGGAGACAGGATACTGAAATGCTCTGCCTGCCTATTCGCTTTCTGCTGCATCAGTTGCCCCCAGGATGCTCCCGTTTCAACTTGTAGCCCTTCTGGGAATAGCAGTGCCAGGAAAGACTTTGGAACATTTTCTTGCTTGGGCTCTAGAGGAATCGCTGGTCTGTTCCAGCACTCAGTCTGTACAGTAGCCTGGATACAGATCGGTGCTTCCAGTGGGATTCAGTCCCAAGCACTCTGTCTTGTGCTAGAGACAAATTAATTTGGACATCACAAACTGTAAATAATCAAGCTAGCAGGCAATCTCAGGGGTACCTAACTGGAATATGGAATATAAGTGTAAAACCCCCTAATCGTGATGCTTCCCATTTAGCTTTTTAAGAAATACAGGGTGAAGTTTCAGGTGTCCAAATAGTTATGTACATTTTTAGTATTAACTGATATGAGCAGCCCTACTGATGACCCTCTGAAGGATTAGGACCATAATATTGCATGATTATTTCAAGCTATGTTGTAAATAAAGTCCAGCTTATAGCCCCAGTCCTACAAAATGCTCCATGCCCTCCACAATGGCTACAGGAATGTCACAGGAAAATCAGTGTCTTCCACATCACAACGCAGCTGAAGTGGTGCTAGCAATATCAGTTTCTTACTTGTAGACAATATTTATGTGTATTAAGCCACCAATCTTTCTGGACTAAAAAATATGTCTCCACTGTCGAACAATCCAGTGCCACAAGTTAAAAAAGACAGGTGCTGGGTAAGAAAATCATGTGAAAATTAGCAATAGAATGTGAATTTATCATAGCATATTTTATTAGAAAATAAATAATAGCAAATTAATTATTATAGAAAATAATTCATTTCATTCTCCCTCTCTCTCAAAAAAAAACCCACAGATATTTAATTTTAGCCTTCTAAATGCCTATGGCATTTGTTTTGTAATTAAATAATCCTGTATGTGTTTTGAAGATTGCGACTTCAGGTGACATAAAACTGATGGGCATAGATCACTGACAATTTTCTTTTTTTAATCTGCATTTCATTTTTGCTCAGCTTCACTGCAGACACTGGAGTTAGACCAGGTTTTGGCATTTGCACTAGGTAATTTTCATAATTCTGATAGTATGAGGTGTCTTCTTCTCCAGGGAAAGATACAATATCTATAGCAGACACTGAATCATGCAGTTTGTCTGATTTATCTTCGATCTGTGAGGCTATTAATATTAAGTTTCTAATGTCTTAGAGGAAGTGCTATAAATATTGCAAAGACTAAGTGGATAGTATTGATATATTTTAAACATGTATTGATATATATACTATTAAAAGCTCTCAACAACTGCATATATTTCCAGATATGTCTCATATTACTGATATTAAGAGCAAATGAAGTTGTACATTATTCAAAACAAATAATGTCATTAAAGTGTATTTCGTTAAACTAAACATCATCTATTTAAAATACACGTGCATATACTTTAAACTTCCCAAGGTGAGGATATCTATTGACATACAGATATCCTGTGGACCAAGGAAATGCAGTTTGTACTGTGAACCCTACACCACACATGCAAATTAAAGCAGAATCTATCGCTGTATATGAACACAGCTCTCTAACCATCCAGCTCCGTCACCTGTGGCTGCTTTTACCACACGGCTCCGTCAGTGTAGCACCACCCGTAATGCAGAGATGAGGGATACTGCATTTATGCAAATCACACCTGCCAACACTGTCTTGCTTTCTGCTTCAGGAGTAGAATGAGTTATTCTTAACAGCTTTTACCTTGATTTTTTAGCTATTAACGGTGCATTTTGAGCTGTGTGTGTATACATATTCATATAGGAAAGTGTCCCTAATGCTTGGGGGTTCCTGTAATTGCTTGCATAGAGTTGTATCTTAGGTTGTTTAGGAACACATGGATGATATTAACACATGAGATGAAACTGCCTGAGGTCAATTTAAAGCTATGCTTCAGGTGCATCAGTGTTTACTGAATGGCTTAGGGCATAGACAGCGTTTATATGCAGACATGGTACTTAGCAGGATGTATAAAGGGAAAATAAAAATGTAATACTTGGCCTCCATACTTCAAAGGAGACCAATACTGATCTTGGAAGCACTTTGGTTAATTACCGGGAGATGCAGAAAGGCGCGTTCAAATTTACCCTGGGGGAGGCGGGGACGGCCGTTGACCCCACTCCTCCGCCGACCGTTAACCGCCCATGCGTTCAAATGGCAACGGCCGCGCGCGCGGCCCCGCCCGCGCTGCGGCGCGG